TTCCTTCTTTCCTTCCTCAGCTCTTTCTTCCCCTGTGTCTCTTTTGCTGTCTTCTTCATCCCTGTTTCATCACGAATAGTTAGCATGTTATGGTGTTCTCTCAGAGCCAGGGAAAGGCTGCAAATTTAAAGTTATATGTAAGATCTATAGGGTGCACTAATGCACTCCAGTCCCTTTGGATCTCATCGATTTCCCATCTTCATTTGATGGGGGGGCTTTTCTTATTTCCTATGAGGCAGTCAGGCCCAGGGAGCATGTAGGAGAGCAAGGGGTTTACAGCAGCAGGGCCACTGTGGAATGGGACTTCGCTCTGGCTGCCTGAGATGATCATGGGACTTAGCTCTGGCTGCCTGAGATGATCCAGGGGATGTCCTGGAGCAGAGGTAACAAGTGCAAGAGAGTGAGGAGGGATTTGGTTTCAGGCCTTGTACTGCACCGTAACTCTGCCTTGTCTTGCAGCTTGACCTCCAAAGAGAATAATATCCTGCTCCAGCCTGTGTTCACCTTCCTGTGGGGTGGCCGCCCTGTGCCCGCTGGCTGGCACCACCAATGAGCCCTGCGTGCATCAGTGCCAGAGCTCCTCGGTGGTGATCCACCCCCCGGCCACAGCGGTCACCTTCCCCAGAACATTACCTGGGCTACGAAGGCTGTTATGCTGGCCATGGTGGTTATGGAGGCTCTGGGGGCTACAGGGTCTATGGAGGCCTTGGTGGCTATGGAGTCTTTGGTGGCTTTAGGGGCTGCCTATATGGTGGCTGGGACCAAGGCCTTATTTCCTTCGGTGACAGCTGTGGGATCTTCTAAGCCCCACCTAGTGCTGGTCATTGGCATCTAAGAGCTCCAGGAAATACCCTGGCATATCCCAACATGATAATGCCCAATGGAAAAACTTCCCTTCAGCACTGCCTAGATCCAGAGCTTGGATGCCTCATACCTGCTTGTTTTCCAGCTCTTCCTTCCTTCTGCCCTTCTTGAGCATCTCTTCAAGAGTCACTGCCCTCTAATGACAGAAACACAGACTGGGTGCCTGCTCCTATGGCAGTGCTGATTCTCTTTTTCACTCTGCCCACTGCCTGGAGACATGGGCTGCACTTGGCCAGGGCTTTCAACTTCTCCCAACTCATTCCCCCCTCAAACTTCATTAAACACTGTGTTTCATCACAGTGTTGACCATTCTTCCTTCATACGCAATACCCAATGTGGATTTAAGGGTTCCCATGACAGTTCCCACCCATGACCTTCTCATGCAGATCTTCGAGGTGTGCCTGTCTTCCTCCTGCTTTCCCTCAGAAATCACATCTCGCTAGGTGAGGGTTGCCCAGGGCAGGGACCATGCTCACTTGGAGGGACTACAGCTTATCCTTCTTTGCCTCCCTTGTCTTCTCACCACATTGGTATCATGCAGCCCAAGAAGAACTGTTGGGACTAGCAGTGAGTTTGCCGCCCACTCTGACCATTCCCATGGGCTGCCTGCATTCCCATCTCTTCTGGGATTGGCATACTAACAGAGTCATCTCAACAGCAAAGGCCCACCTCAGAACCACTTGGGAGAACACAGGTCAAAAGGGGAGAGTGTCACCAATTCCCAGCACCTCCCCATACGTCTTGCCTCCATCACTTTCACATTCCTGCAACCTCTCACCATATTCACCTCCAGGTTTTTTCTGTCTCCCAAGGATCCTTGGAGCACTTATGGCCCCGTCTGCCCCCACTGGTGAAGCATAAGGTTTTCTTCTCCATTCCCAGTGTTACCCACCTTCAGCCTGCAGACATGTCTCTGCCCAGGAATGACAGCAGAACTTCAACACCCTCGTGCCCTGGAACAGACTTTGCCGGACCTTTTCTTGCCCTTCCTCACATGCAATCCCACAATGTAGCCCACACTTCCACACACCTCCCAAAGCATCCAGCCACTGAAGGGTCACCAAAACCTCCTTCTACCATGGTATGCTCAGTAGATACACATGGGACACCACATGAACCAGGACAGAGCTGATGGCTGAGATAAAGTGCAGGGAACTTGGTTAGATGCAAGGATGGATGACCCCTTTTTTCCTGGGTACCGAGCAATGACAAACATGTTGCCACATCGCCCTTCCTGATGGCTTTGTCCGGAACTGCACAATACCACTGTGCAGTGCCAGGATACAACAATAAGAACACACCTGGGGAAGGGAGGGACCTTCGGAGGATCAGCAGTACAATATCTCGCTCAAAGAGCTTTATGCTTCACGTGAATAAGATACCAGGGGACATATCGTGACTCTGAGAGGAAACATGGGAGCACTTGGCAGTGTTTATCACACACTTTCCCAATCGTCCTGAGGAGCAGATGGGCATAGGGACATGGCGAATACATGAAGTTATTAGGCTAATTTCCATTGACCTCCCAAAGTAACCAATACCAAGCCAACAAAAGGAGGCAATGGCAGCATGCTGGTTTTGCAGAAGATTAGGAAGGACTTCCAGAGTACCCTTAAAACATTTTCACATCTTGCAAGTTGGCTTTGGGAATGTATTGTGTTTATCGTTAAAGGGACACCTAAGGAAGATCAGCCCGATGTCCTCTACAACACTGAGACTGAAGGTCATCAATAGTTGGAACTCACAGAGCAACAGTCTAAGTGCTGCCGGTGCACTACTGTGGGAGAGTCAAGCAGCGCATACGACCATGCTCGGAGGTTTGGTCCAAGTGGCAAAGAAGAAAGAACCATAAAAAAGGAAGGGTCGATGTTGCAATATAGCACAGCTTTTATTGGAATTTAAGTGGGGGGAGAAGAAGTTGGGACAAGTGCAGAGCCCAGGCCAAGGCCAGCCCAAGTCTCATGGATGTGGGCACAGCTACAAGGAGCATCAGCCCTACCACAGGAGAAGGTACTCAGACTGGGTCTCTGCTATCAAGGGGCAAAAAACCTTGAAGGGATGCTTAAGCAGGTCAGGAGGAAGGAAGTGTTGGCCCACAGGCAAGTACAAGGTGTCCAAGCTCTGGATCCCAGCAGCGCTGAAAGGATGTTCTTCCTTTGGACAACATCATGTTGGGATATGCCAGGGGCTTTCCTGGAGCCCTCTGTTGTCTGAGGCTTGACTCGGGTGGCGCTTAGCAGCTCCCACAGATGGCACCGAAGGACACAAGGCCTCGGCCCCAGCCGCCATATCCGAAGCCCCCCAAGCCTCCATAGCCACCAAAGCCTCCATATCCACCACAGCCTCCATAGCCCCTGTAGCCTCCATAGCCCCCAAGGCCTCCATAGCCCCCATAGCCTCCATAGCCCCCGTACCCTCCATAGCCACCGTAGCCTCCATAGCCCCCGTAGCCACCAAAGCCCCCAGCCCCCCAAAACCTCCCGCCGTAGCCACCAGCAATGGCGGGGATTCCCGCTGAGCCCACCACGCTGTGCTGCGGGAAGGAGCTGAGGATGGGTCCGGGGAAGGTGACCACGGAAGCCGGGGGCTGGATCACCACCGAGGAGCTCTGGCACTGACGCACGCAGGGCTCGTTGGTGGTGTCAGCCAGGGGGCACGGGGCGGCCACCCCACAGGAAGGGACACACAGGCTGGAGCAAGACATCTTTCAGGCTGTGACGGAGTCCTGGAAAATGCACCAGGGATTAGGCAGGGGTGAGGGTGAGAAACTCTATCAAGCGAGGCAGGGAGAGACCTGCAAGAGGCTCCCAAGTGCCTCTCACTTACCCGTTTGATCGGGAGAGTCAAACGCAGGAATCTGGATAGAGGCTGCAAAGCCTTCAGCTCTTTTATACCTGTGCCAGACTGCCCGGGGCATCAGCCAGGAGACGGGGACAGAATGCCAAAGGACTCATGGAACCGGGTGGACTAACTTCACTATACACTCAATTAGACGAGAAACTCTTGTCCCTCTTTATTGGGATCAGTGGTACATGAATACGCTGTGGAGTACCTATGGATGTTGGGAGGGACACAGCACATTCCATGATAGACAAAGTGCTGCTTTAGCTGACATTGCAGCATCAATAAAAATGGATCTGTCACTAATCCCTAAATTTGCCTATGTGGAAGAGTCACAGGCATCTATCAGAAGATTACTGTCATGTAGTTTGTCCATGTACGGTTGCAGAAAACACAGGTAATCAGGAAGAGAAGCATACAAACTTCATGATGCAATTATTAAAGTGAGACAATCATATGCATTTCAATTAGGGATATTTTGTGTTAAGAAAGAGGTGATAGGAGGCATAAACTGTGACACTGTTCATTCTGTGCAACATGGCTCTATTATTACTCACCTAATGGCAGTAGTGCATCCTCCTCTCTCCCTTATCCTCCCACTTTGCTCATATGCTGGATTCTTGAGCACCTTGTGGAAGTGCTTTGCAATCCTGGCCACAGCCACAACGCCTGTCATTACCTCTCTTTTACAAGGTTGTAAACAGATGCACAGGGAGCTTGGGTAAGGGGAGAAGCCATTCCTCATGCTTGGAATGACTTCCGAAGGCCCAATACATTCCAGTACTGTTTTGGGGCAACAGTTCAGAAGCATCTCTAAACCTTGGCCATCTCCATGACCTTGCTTATCAGGTCATAACTGAGGATTCTGATAGACACCAAATGTAAGAGTACGAGCTGCATTTGCTGTGTGAGGCAAGACCCACACGCTGGGAGCTCAACGCTGACGTGTTTAGGGAGCAATGAGAGTGAGCAGCAGGGTTACATGTGAGAGAGAGATGTGCACAGAGGGGCAGGGTGACAGGAGGGGACTCTCAAGCCCTCTTTGAAGGGAATTGATTACACAAGTGGACATTGATGGCAGCAGCACAAGTGACTGGTGAGAACCCAGAGAGAGCCACAGTGCTCTCTGTGGTTAGACGTCACGTTGACACACACAAACACATACTAGATACTGCAGGCTGACTCAGCATCATGTCTGCTGCTGAGGGTGGCACAGTTGGGCACAGCACAGTTGGGCACAGCAATCTTCTGAGAGATG